CCACGCGAACTGACACATTCTTGAACGATAGTGAAGTGATTGTCGATAAATAAGACAAATAGACCATAAGCTTGGCCAAAAACGTTACGTATACTTGTTACTTTGACGAATTACTGAGGATATACCAAGTCAGAGGCCTAATGCTGGCAATTATCAAGAGTCTGGAAGGGGACGCAGAACTTGGTACGTTTCTCAAGCGCTCCCTCCAACTTTACCAAGTTGTGAAGAATGCTAGGAAACCTAAAGTCTGCCTAATTTGGTCTTACTATATTCACATGAAATGCTGGTTTAATACAAACATCGTGGAAAGCTTTTAGTTATTTTCTGGCAGGCCGACAATTGTCAGTCTTGAATCACTAAAGATGACGAAAAACTGACGGTTGAGTTTTTCTACAATCCGATAAGTAGGACTCAAGATACAATTGGATTTCACTTTGCCTTACTTTCTAAAAAGTATTCTCATTTCGGCTGGATTGGAAGGCACTTTCAAACTGACAAGAACTGGTCTCGTCAGCACCCCCAACAGGAATCGAACTCGGGTTCTGGTAGGGCAGCGCACATGTTACTATCACTCCACACTGCCATGGGCGTGCCAATTGGTCACAGACAAGTCAGACCCTTTCCATAACCTATTTTCGTATTTAGTATTTCTATAGAGAAATCTTATGTTTTTTGTTTGTGAGTAGAGTTTCAAGACTATCATTAAATCAGATATATGAAATGTATTTCTCCTATTTCTTTAAGATAAAGGACTAATAATTGAATTTTCCCATAATCTCATATGGCCTTTCTGTACAAAAAGCTATTCTCATTTGTAATGGGAGACAGTTTCGACCTCGCCTCAACTAGTCTCATCAGCACCCCCAGTGGGACTCGAACCATGGCAGTGCAGCGTAAAATCCCGACACTTCAACCACTACGCCACATTGCCACGAGTGTATTTGAGTCAAAGGGAAGATGTGAATTTTAAGGAAGGCCAGGCATTTTCGAATATCATATTATGTGGTGTGATTGTCGATGAAATAGAGTTGTATTTCCTATGGCACTCTAGTACATTACTTATTTTTGGCTTGTATGTAGGGTCTAGAGACTACTTGTCCTTCATCAGCTCAAACGAAATATGGTAAACACATATATTTGCCAATACGACTGACTAAATTATTTATATTCTCATTAATGAGACTTCGAAACTGCCAATTCAGCAGGAATATCAGCAATGTAGTCGATTTGAATAGCAGAAACAAACCCATGTTTGCTTTGTCAATAATTCCACTGCAAAAGAAAACAACCAAAATTCAAGTCCCATTGAGGGTGCCAGGTCAAAATTGCAATCCAATCCAGCCTACGTGACGATAACGTTTGGGAAATAAGGCAAAATGGAATTCAACGGATTCGTAAAAGCTTGAGGGCGTCTAAAGCTCTTAATCGAGATCAACTGATGGTTTCGAAATCTATCCACTTCGACTACAACAGACATCATTCTGGCTCTATGCAGTTCGACCGTGATACAGATCCGGAGGGCTTGCGATAGAAAGTCTTTTGAGATCAGAATCAAGTACCGACCAGATTGTATTTATTAAGTTTATTTGGTGACTGATGTTGTCAGTTTAGAGGCTCAGTAGACAGGTCATGCTTTTAAAAACGGATTAAAAATGAATCTGAGTTTAAACAGTTACATGCAGTTGGGCTACTTTAATACTACTTGTGATGACATTTTCTGACTCACCGACAAGCAATAGAGGCATTTTTTTCGTTTTCCTTTATTCCATTAAATCTTATTTTGGAAATGTATTAACCCAATTTCGTCAAAAGTGATGAAAGACTAATTATTCAACTTTTCCAAAATGGCACCGATACACCTGACTTGCCAAAAGGTGTTATTATCCAAGCTGGACTGCATATTGTGTGCTCGCCTAAACCGATCATGTCAGATTCTCCAGCGAGACTCGAACCCGAGTTGCAGCATATAACTTCGACACTTTAACCACTACGCAATGCTACTACAAATGTCCTTGGCTCACAGGGTGGACGTAAATTTTAAAGAAGGCCATGCCTTTTGCATATTACATTCCAGTAGTTATATATACATACACACACACACACATACACACACACATATATATATATATAATATCGATAATTCCGCTGTTAAAAAAAAGTCTAGCCTTCTTTGACATTTGCATCTGCTGCCTGTTCCATAGACACTTGTGAAAGTGTGACGCAATGACTAACGTCCCGATGCTATGCGTTTCACTACCGCAAACCGGATTCGAGTTCCCTTGAGGCTGTTATCAATAAAAGTTCAGGCTAGGTCGAAACTGCAGTTCACTTCAGCCAGAATGATAATACCTTTTGGAAAGCAAGACTATGCAAAATTCGTAGAAAAGGAAGTGGGAAAATTCAAAGGGTTGTGTGGACTTGCATTTCGTATGCAGTTTCAGGATGAAGAGATTTGTACGCCAAATCTATGGAAGACGATGACCATTTGTTCAGGTTCACGTAATCGTCAAGACATCCTCCCTCGTTTCGGGTGAAAATGGGGCTGGGATTTCAACCGTCATATAACGGACATCATCAAAGATGGGGCTAATTCGTGCAAAAGTTTCATCTTATCCCCAAGTCAATAAGACTGACCGGCTCTATTTTACTTGCTATATATTCTCTAAAGGAAAAAAATATAAATGTAGATATGTAGATAATGTAATA